TGAACTTGTAGGTATATACCCATTTGAGAGGAAGAATTCGATGGATCTTCTGATTGACGTCTTCCAGTCTGGTAAGCTCAAAGGTGCCCTTCTTCCAGACTGTTCGATATTCCACGTTCATTGCTGCCAGCCACTTAGGCCAGAACTTGTGCTCTTTTGCCTCGGAGTATTTCAGGGGAGGTGAAGGGAGGTCTCTGCGATGGATTTGACCTAGATCATGAGCGAAGTCGTCCCATCTATTCTTTTCCTTGGTTGAATCTGTCAACTGGAAGAAGGAAGATCTGATTGATGAAGATCTATCCTTAAGTCGGCGAGAGGATCTTGTAGCTGCCTCTGGTTGATGATTAGTTTGACCAATTGGCGTTTCTCGATTGTAAATAGAGTTATTGCGACTTCCTCTTGGTCGTCCTTTTGGTCTCCCTGTACCTATAGTAGGAGGTGGAGCATCCGAAGAATCAGCAACGTGGATTGTTGACTCAGCGGTCGTTGCTGAAGAAGATAATGATAAGACGGAGGGCGAGCGATCCTGAGTTGCAGTCTCCGGAGTGGGTGACTCTTCATGGGTTATTGACTCGGGAGTAGGAGGGTCCTGAATGAGAGGTTGATCTAAGTATGAACTTGTTTATGGTAACAGCTATTGAGTAACTGTCTCTTCTTCTGGGTCTATATAGGTTAAACCATACTCTTCCACCCCCTCAACTAAAGGAATATATGACTCGTGAAGTTGTGTTCCTGGAGAACCAGTAGGAGTAGGCAGTTGAGGCTCTCGCTGTTAGTCGAAGCACTGTTCCCTGACATCCCTTGGCCCAACTGCAGTAGCCGGCTGGAGATCTTCGTCATTCCATAGTCGTAAATCCATGGGGAGATCTTCACTCTGAGGATCAGGAATCGGAATCTCCAGAATAGAGAAGACTCTCTCTAGCTCCGTTCGATAAAAGAGACTAGTATCCTCCTTGCTGGGGTCGTATAGCTTTATTTCGTCAAATGTGACATCCCTAGTCCTCATGACCTTGTTAATAGCTGGGATCCAGATGCGATAGATATTGGTACTATCGTAGCCGCAGAGATACCCCACATGGGCTCTAGGCTCAGTCTTGTTTGCCTTCTCTTCCCCTCTCAGATAGGTCGTAGTAAGAAGGTAGGCCTTACAGCCGTATCGCCGTAGATGGGCAAGTTGAGGAAACTCAGCCCTTTGATGGGTTGACCATGGCCTAGAGTTGAGCCAAGTGTTCATTAATCCTTCTGGGGTTTGCCAGCCATGTCTCTTACGAGGCATTCTATTGCTGAGGTAGTTGGCCGCTCTCACCAGTTCGGGAGATAATTCCTCTAGGAACCGTGATTGATATCGTAGAGCCCTGGTAATCTCAAAGATGATCTCACCAGCCTTTTCTGCTGGATTCTGAGCCCCAGTATATACAGCAGATCGCTCAATAAGCTTACCGTTATCCGCTACCCATAGGTCGAAGGCATTATGAAGAGCTATTTCCCAATCAAGGCGAAGTATTGAGAAACTGAAGTAGTATTGTTTTTCAAGAAATATGGCAATCTGGGTAATCGCCTGTAGTCCCTCCTTACGAGACTTAAGAAAGCGAACCCATGTGAATCCACTCCATTCGTCCCTTATGAGAAGGACGATCTTTTCCCCGTTATAGGTCCTTCTTATTATAAAGAAGTCTATGGAGATATAGTCCCCTGGGGCGGTTGGATTGTGGTCAGGCTTCCTCCTTGAGACTTTACGAATAGCCTTGCCTGTGCTGCAGGCCTCGCAGTCAATGGTTGTCACCCCCTGAATCTTGATTCCTCGGCTAGTCTTGAGCAGATTCTCAAGAGATGCGGCGCTAGGGTGACCGAGACGCTCATGCCATAGCATGGCCTCTGCCTTAGAGGGCGAGAGAGGATCCCGTGAGTTAGGTTGTCCGCGCTTGGTTGCTGTCTGGGCGTCTATAGGATCGAAGCTGACATGCTTATTAGAGCTCGTGGTCGCTGGGACTAGCGAAGTGTCGTTGTTGAAAGAGGAGGCTTGATCGACAGTTGAGTCAATACCATTGTACTCCAGGAGATATTGGCCATGTTTCCAAGGTGTGTGGTACAGGACCTCTCCTGTTCTGTTTTCAAATCCTGGATGGCGATTCGTGAAGATGAGACCTTTCTCCTTCATAGGCTGAGCCCCGAGGAGAGTCACCGGGTAGTCTGGGCAATACCAGGCATCCCGTACTGTAAATCCCTTCTTCCTAAGACCTCCTTGATTAGGGCGTATTTTCATCGTCCCTCGAGCGATAGCTGTCATTCTCCCTCCTCCAGTAGTGAACTCTGTTGACTGGCTGAAGTTTAGATCCTTCATTCTAGAGCGATCGTTGCAGATGTGGAATCCAGTCCCAGAATTAACGATGATGCTATTCTTGAGTGGAAAGCCAGCGTAGAGACTAATTGCTGGAGCTTTCTTTGGGGCAGTGAAGAAGGATGAGGACTCAGAGCTGTGACACGTCTCCCTATCTGAGTCTGATTGTTCTTGGTTGAAGTAGGAAGAGCGCTGACCTGGGCTCTCCTTGTCCGACAGAGAGGAAGACTGAGTAGCCAGCTTGTCTGACGACGATGACGAGGAGATTTTAGCGTTGTTGAGTCGCTCCTGTGCCCTTGGGTGCTTCTGAAGCCAGGCCTGACCCCGTTCAATAGCCTTCTTAGTCTGAGGATGGTTTGGGTCGTAACTAGACTTCCTTTTCTCCGGGTTGCAGTGAGGACAGTCAGAGACCCAATGCTTCACCGAGCCAGGACAAGCGGGACACTTAGGAACAGGCGTCTCGTTCCTTCTTCTTTGTGATTCTGTAGAGTTGCCCTTTTCATCTTCTCCTTGCCAAGTAGCAAAACTGGAGGGTTTGACGTCTTTGAATAGCCAGTCTGGATGGAAGGACCTGACCCATTGACGAAAGAAGTTGGCTTGTTGAATTCCAGCACATTTCTCTCCGTCCTTAGGAGGCTTCCCAATGTTGGTCTGATTGAAGGTGAAAGTAGCAGTCGTATAGTAGCTAGGAGCGAGGGGCTCGACCGCTTTGAGGAAATCAGCGACTTGAGTAGTTGGGTCAAGAAGAGCTGGAAGTGCGACATCAACGACTTCATCCATGATGTCAATGTAGTTGCTGAGCCAATCAGACAGCTTGGATCGCTTGACTGAGCCCATGTGGGCTTGATAGCGACGAAGAATGAGCTGCTGTCTTGCGTAGTTATCCGGAGCTAGCTCATCTCTAAGAGCAATAATCATGTCTCTTAGATTTTCTTTATTACTGACGTGGTTGATGTACTGGGCCTCAACTGTGGAGGTAACCCAGGAAAGAACGGCAATGGTGCCTTTGTTAGCCCTTTTGTAGTCTTCCATTCGATCAGCATGTCTGGCCTTAGCCAAGGCAAGCTCGTTGACGAAGTTTTCAGCTTCAGGGTTTGGTTCAGTAAGACGGGGCCTGATGTTCACCACTTGTTGGTCTGGATCTATATAGTTCCAGACCTCATGGATCCTAGCCACCAGCTTGAGGTTTCCGTACCATTTGGTCCAGTCAGCGTCAGAAGTCAGCTTCTGAGTGACCTTAGATGACTCCATGGTTGAGGAAGAGGCAATTGTAGCCTTGTAGGTTCGTATCGATATCGTTCGGATTGATCGATTGCCTATAGAGAGGCAGAGTTGTTGCTTCCGTTGAAGCTGAAGATCCTGGCCTTTGTGGTTGCAGGATTGGCGCTGGCCAAAGGAGACTGAATAGTCCCAAGAGTTGCAAAGCACTTGATCGATTGATGATGTCTGAGTGACAGGTCCTTGCCTCTTGGCTGAAGGAATCAATCAAGAAGACAGTTGCTAGAGTCGACTGGGCTCATAACTGACGGTTAGTCAGGGTGGCCAGCGGAATATGCATATGTGAGTGAGCAGAAAAGAGCGTCTATTCGTACTAAAGAGTGGATGGAATCACCACAGGCTTGTGGGCCTAATGCTATCCTAATAAGTCTTGCAGAGCTAGGACCAGGTGGAAATGACAGTCTGGCCTGTTTCGTGATGGTCAGACCATTCCGAATGGGTTATGTCCATGACTCGCGTAGAAGCATGCATGGATTCTGTCACCTCCCAGAAGCCCATAAGAGTATTGTCCGTCTATATGTATGTTATAGTTATACCATCTTTGTCATTGCTTATCGCAGCTGCGGTTGCTCATGTGTATAGTAGCAGGCCATCTCGACGCCCTTCCTCCAAGTGTTCGGCGTCCTATCGTTGGCGGCCGAAGCAGTGTGCGCTGTCTGCGGCAAGGGAGTTGAGGTAGGTAGGATTTTGTTGGGTTTGATGTATTTTAGGGGGGTCCTCCCGTTCCGTCTCTCGTTGCCTTGCTTCCAGCCGGCCTGTTGCGAGCGGAAATTGAATCGTCGCTCGAACCGCTTGTATGTTTGGCGTTTATTTGTCGTCGTCCGATGAGCTCTTGCTTCCTAGGTCGAAGGATAGATTGCTTCACGGTCTTCCTGTACTGGAGTATATACCAACGGCAACACCAAACTTGATATTTGTTCTGCTTAGGTGCGATTTACTATTCAGATTTCGAACAGACCACGACGTCTTGACAACAAGATGAAAGGCAGAGCCGTTCTCGGTGAGTCAATGTCATTACGTGACATAAGGTTTGTAGGCGCGCGGCACGATGCAAAGGAGACTTTATCCGCATGCGACTTTCCTTGTGATTGGCGTAGAAGCTAGCCCATTGTATGAGGTGCTTGCCGGGGCCTAGAGCCATTGGCTACTATTGTAACCTACCGAATTCACTGGAATATTTCGAGTGTTATGAAAGCGCCTGCAGTACATGCGGGTACAGTAGTGGATAGGAAGGTATCGGAACCTACGCCGCTAGCATCCCCCACTCCCAATACGGTGCCCTATGCCGTCCTCTTCGAATGATCCCCGCTTCATTGCCGTTAGGGGTCGTCACCCTTGCAATTCACGGCCGGCGCTTGCTCGATGTGGCATTTGGTCTATAAATGAGTAAGAGCCGACTCTCGTTAACATTATCTACACCGTTCTGATCTTGCATAGGGATCCTACTGCCCGCTTCTTACTAGAACTGAACTTAAATCGACACCTCACATCGTCATCTTCCATTTGAATCTCGCACGATGCCCTCAGATAAAGATCGTCTGTACATCGCCCTATATGCCAGAGGAGGCGCACCGAAGATGCCGGGTCTTGAGGACACGTCTGGCCTTCCTTCCACAGCATTGTTGTGCAACAAGGCTGATAAGTGTTTAGGTATCATTGGGCGTACATCATAGGCCCCAAATCGGAGTCAGTTAACAGCTATGGGAGACGGTATCATGCTAAGGAGACGATGACTCTCGAAGGCACGCCTCCAATGCTGAAGTCGCGCTGGGTTTATGAAACCCGTGAAACTACAATGGCGCCTACGTCCATGCTTCTGATCCGGGTCGTTGTCGCCAAAATCAAGGACAGGCATCGGCTTCAGTCCATTTTTGAGGGCACGCCTCTTCGACCAGAAGTCGAAGACTGGAACTGCGTCGGATGGGCAAAGGAGGGATTCGAGAGTGCACTCAGAGATGGCAATGTTCTTGGCACCTCCGCCGTTAGCTGGAAGTCGATCCGTGACACAGCCATGTGGTATATCGAAAAGAAAAAGACCGAGCATCGGTTTGATGGGACCGTGAATTGTGACCCAACCAAGGCACCAACATGGGACATGTTGGAGAACAAAGAACTGTCACCATAGCCATGAAAGAACTGCCAAGATTCAGATAGTGGTTATTTCAAGTAGCGCCAAAATATGTGCGACGTATGCGTTCCATCCTTAGCTCATACGGCATGGGAGTTAGAAATCTGTCCACCTCTTGCTGCCATAACGGATTCTGGGGGCTCACAAACCACGCAGACGTATATTCCCAGTATGAGGGCAGCCAGCCTGCCGTTTCCCAGTCAACAATGCCGACAACATCATCGCCCCGCACTAGCACGTTGAAGCTGCTCAAATCTCCATGTGTAAAGGCCAGATCGTCATCCGATCGACGGTAGAAATGAAGGAGTTCCTGGAGATCTGGAGGTTGGTTCTCATACCGAACTTCAAAATCGGCACCATTAGCAAGCTCCTTATGGAAGTCCTGTACCGTAGCAAAAGGGCCCCAAAAGGACTTGAAAGGCAGGCGGCAGTCGTAAATAGGACCACCGTCAATATTAGCGACCCCAAGGCCCTCTGTCAAGGCGATAGCGCGCAACTGGGAAACCATGCCACGTAGCTGATTGAGGATCTGTTGTTTGGATGCCTCTGACCGTTTCTTCCAGCCCATCCATGCCATCTTGCCATCGATCTTGCTCATGACGATGTACGTCATCCCTTGGTGGACAAAAGCGGAGTAAACCTTGGGAACTGGAACAGATGTGTGTTGGGCGACGAACTGCATCGTGTGTGCCTCGGCCAGATTTGCGTATGGTTTGACCTTGATGCAAAATCCAGACACCGCAAGCAGACCAATCTGTGACTTCCAGAGATGTCTAAAGTATTGACTCGTCTTGGTCCATACTACCAAAAGTGTTAACGCTCGGACTAGACGCCCGGCGTTGATCGGTTCGGTTTCCCTCATTCGTCCGTCGGGTCGGGTCGGGTTCCTTCCATCGGTTGTACGGAAGGTTGGATCCTGTGGGAAATGCTGCAGCTTTTTGGTCCACGGATCGCGTCCTAGTTATGAGAGCTTTGGCTGCAGGGTGTCGGAGGTCTGGGACATAATGCACGTCAGAGGTGGTTCAAGTTGAGTTGAAATCCAGCGGGGGTATTCGGTGGTGAAAAACCTTTGGTTTAGTCATTACTGGCGCCACCGCACGCTAGTCCATCTTCCAGGTCACGTGAGCGTTACTCAGCATTTGGATCAAAACTGTCCCGCCACCCGGTTGATTCTGCATTGCTGCGTTCGAGCTTTACGCAGTGTCTCTGTGAGTTGCCGGAAACATGATACATCAAGGCGATGACGGTAAGCGATGACGGTAAATATTCTGTCAGACGCCGGTTGATGTGGAATTCAAGATCTGTGGAGGCAATACTACTGTATTGGATCTGATGATGATGATGGGAAAAGCTGAGCGCTGGCTGGGCTGGATATCTGGGCAAGGTGTAGGTGGGGCAGCTCCGAGATGTGAAGGAGCTGCCTCACGTGACCCACCTGCACCTGCCACACCGCCCCTCAGGCCAGCCACAGTGAAAACTATCGTACATGTGAGAAGCAGGCAACTTCTGAACACATACCTCGAAAGGCACCCACTATTAGTAATTGTTAAGGTTATAGAGGGCTACGGCCCACTGCACTATCATCTCTCAACATCAGCCCATACGAGCTGAATTTTACGACTATAGCGGTCTCCCTAGATATAGGGCCATCGATTACGGTTCACGGGGACGCTAGTATATTTCGGCGGTCGGGACGAGTCCGGAAGCCGATTGTAAAGGTCAGAGTGGTTAAGTAGGTCAACTATTAGGATAATTCTGAGCTTAAAGACGAGATTAATAAGCTTTCGAATCTTGTCTAGGACCTCCTATGTCGGGACGCCGAGAGGGAATAGTTTTTAAAAGACTGTTTAACGAAGATCGAATTCTTGGAGAGAGAGCTTCAGGAGGAGAAATAGCGTTCAAACCGGTATTAACGTGGTCTAGTAAGGTCTATGTACGCTATTAGTATAGGGCTTAGCGAGACTGACCTGGGTTCCCAGGGGCATCCCTCGTATATAACCTAGAACTAGCCGCCCCTAGTCCGTTTATACGCGGCGGCGGCGAACTAGCTACTATCTAGAAGATAGGATGAATCAACGCTAGCTAAATAAGCCGCAAAACAAGCTACAAACCGGGCGGCCTTAAAAGATCTATACGTTTTCGCGCATCTATCGCCTAAAAACCCGCTTCGGAACGAGAAAGCCTACGATATATATATCTTCGTTCGGGAAAGGCTAAGTCCCTAAGCCCGAGAAGCCCTCAAGGGGATCGACCATGTCAAGACAGGATTAGCACTCCTACTTTCGTTAATGGATAGTGTAAAAGTCCTGCTAGAGAACAGAGAACAGATCGCTGCCCTTCTCTAAATATAAACGATCGAGTAACGCGATACCTGGATCCGAGCCTATATCGTAAACGTCCCTTACACCAGGCATTGTCTAGTAACCAATACTAAGCTGGAAATCACGACCGAGGAGCTCCTTAAAGAGATCCAGGTCTCGACGAAACTCAAGCCTAAAAAAGCACACTTCTCTAGGAAGGACGAAGTCGAAAGGCTAGGCACGGTGACAGCCTAGTTCAAGGCGGAAGCCGTAAGGCAACTACCAAGACGCCTCCGTTTAATAGGGGCCAGCGTTTTTATAAACCTGCAGTTCCCGAAGGAGAAGAGGTCTCCCCAATGTCTCCGCTACGGCGGTTTTCACAACGAACGAACGTGCACCAGAAGGAAGAGATGCCTCAAGTACAGCTCTCCTTCCCACACAACTGATCAACACCGGGCACCCTGCGGCGGTACTGAGGGTCACGATGGCTGCGACTGCCCCTTTAAATGCCCGTCGTATAACGGGCCTCACGCCGCCTTCGATACGACTTGCCCTATCCAACCCAAAGTGGTGAAGGGGGTAGTCCAGAGGAGGGATAAGGCTCAGCTACGGGCCATCCGAGCTGAGGGAGAAAGATTATGGAGAAATGCGACCCAGCAGTCACATCGATATTCCCGTAAAGAAGAACAAGCGATGGACTATACCCCGGCGAATAAGACATAAAAGAAGAATACAGCCCTCTAAAACCCTGCAAATCATGCAAGCGAATATAGGTAGGCGGGCATCCGCCTACGAAACAGCACTAAACCTGGCTTACACAGCCCAGATCGATATACTCCTAATATAAGAGCCGTCTATCCGTTCGGAAGAGAGGAGGCTCATAAGACACCACCCAGGTTTTGAGACTTTCACCCCAGTAGATAACTGGACCGAAGACCGTCCCAGGGTACTTACCTACCTCCGTAGAGGAACTAGGGTACGAGGCGTACAAATACGGCCTCTACCCGATCTATCTATAGACCTGCTCTTCTTACGACTCCTCTTAAGAACGAAGGAGGTCCTCACAGTCATTAACGTATATAACGCCCCTCGTGGCTCTCTGCGATCTGGCCAGGCTCTCAGGAACATCCTAGCGGCCTAGCAACCCAAACCTGAGGATCGAGTACTGATTGCGGGGGATTTTAACTTACACCATTGGACGTGGTAGCCCGAGGCCACGAGTTCCCCGGACGCTGAAAACCTAGTAGAATGGGCAGAAGCCGCTAGCCTTGTCCTAATGTCACCTATAGGTGAACCCACGCACAAAGGCGGCAACACCCTAGATTTATGCTGGGCGTCCAGCAACCTCCATGGGGCTTCCACTAGCATAGAAATGTCACTACACACGACATCAGACTACGAATCTCTGCTTACCCGGGTCTCCTTGGCCCTGATCGATTCACCTAGCCAGACCCCGGGAAGGTTTCGGCTCGATACGATAGACGAGGAGCTTTTCCTCGGCATTATTAAACGCAACTTATAACCTATACGCCGCACTGCAAGCAACATCTAAGACCCATAGTCTTTAGATCTCCTAGCATAACAGCTTACGGACTGTCTTATTAGAGCACTCACGGCTTCCACAAAGCGCACGCTCGGGAAAGGTACAGGGAGACCATACTGGAGCGAGAGCTGCACACGTAAACACCGAGCCTATGCGAGTAAGCGAGCGATGTTAGTAAGACTCCGCGCAGCCGGAGTGAACTGCCAATGGGAAGAAGAGGAGGTCGAAGCTCTAAAACAGGACTTCCTCTACGAGTTTAAACGCTCTAAGGATGCCTTTTGGAAAGATAAGATCTCCTCAGCCTCCTTAAGTAAAGATATATTTGAAATGGTCGGTTGGTATAAAGCCACAGGATCCTTTCAGACCCCGCCACTCCGAGATGTAGATAACCAAGACACGCTTGTCTCATAACCAAAAGAGAAGCGCGACTTATTTACCCGCGTCCTCCTTAGAAACGCTGCAATCTCCGAGGATATACCAATAGAAAGCCCAGTCCTATAAAGGCAAGCTACGCTTCCTTTCCCGTAGGTTACGAAGGACGAGGTACGGTCTTCGGTTCTCACCGCGGGAAACACGACTCCTGGGACCGACGGAATCACTACGACTGCTTTGAAAATAGCATGGCTAGTTATTGAGGATATTGTCCTCTTACTTTATAGCGGGTGTATACGCGAGGGTTGGCATCCTACTTGTTTTAAAGAAGCAACTCTCGTGATCCTAGCAAAACCGGGAAAAAGAGACAAGACACTCCCGCGCTCCTATAGGCCAATTGCGCTCTTGGCCGTCCTCGGAAAAGGCTTGGAGAGACTTATCGCTAGACGACTTGCCTGGATCGCAGTCAAACATTGTGTTCTATACGATCAACAGTTTGGAGGACACTTCCCTCTCGCCTAATTTTTCTTGGCATCTGCTGTTAGTGTAATAAGTGGGCTACCACCAAAATTCTTAACAGCTGAAAACCCTTCACCTCTCCTCCAGCGCCCTCCCGCGATGGCCTCGCAGCCTCCGGCGGGCTCTGGACCGTTGCCGACCTCCTCGGCCGGCCTTGATCGAGGCTCTGGACCCTCTTCAGAGCCGCCCCCATCCTCAAGGGCTAAACGCCGCCGCGAAACCGAGGCCCAGCCACTCCGGCCCAGCCTCGTGGGAAGCCAGCCCGACGCCCCAACAACAACCCCCTTAACGGCTAAGGGGCCCTCGACTATGACTGGGACAGCTACTGGAGCTGTCCTTACAGCTCTTAATGAAGAGGCTAAGCACTATGAAGCCCGAAAGGACGTCTTTATGGCTATTGCTCAGTCTGTGGACAACGTGATCTCTTGCTTTGAGGGGCCTAGGAAGCAGATTGCAAAAGAAGCTACAACCTATGTAATCCAAGCCTTGAAGAGGATTATGGGTAACGAGACTACGGCTCCGGCTCCGAGCCGGAAATGGACTGACGTAGCAGCCTCGGCTTCGACTACAGCCGTGGCCGTAGCCCCGACCCGTACCCGAATCCCTACCCGGCCCGAAGTCCAGACACAGAGTCTGACGGAGACCCGGGCCCAGGCTCTATCCCAACCGAAGGAGGACCTCCGGGTCTTTACCCGTATCCCAGAAGAGGGCCTAGCGGCTGCTAGGAAGCACGCCCCCTTCGCCCTACGCCGGACAGTCTGCCAGGCCCTTAGGCTCCAGCTGGCAGATATCCCACACATCTACCATATTGCAACTGGCTACTCACTGAGACCCCTGAATAAGCAGGTCCAGCAAGCCCTCCTTGCAAACAAACAGAAACTAGCAGAGTGTCTTGGAGCCTATAAGGTTGAGACCCCTACTAAGTGGTTTACCTACGTCGTCCCACGTTGCCCTGCTAAGATGTGGACTCTTGATGGCGACGCCCTTGACCCAGCTACTCTGGTAGAAGACGAGGTCCTTGCCCAAACAGGACGTAAGCCTACCCGGGCCCAGCAGTCCCGGCTAGGTGTAAACCCTATTATAAACGAAGTCTCCTGGGTCATCTTCTTCTCTGTGGAAGTACCACCCTTCAGACTGTTTAACCAAAGCAGCAGGTCTCAGCTTATCCAAAAGAAGAAGACCCTAATCAGACATGATCCTGGATGCCAGGGATATCATTCGAACCGACACTGTCACCGACAGCCACTCTGTAGCAACTGTAGCAGGCCCTCGGGATCCCACGAGACTGGGCCC